GGGCTTTTTTTAAATTTCCCAAATTATTCAAATAAGTAAACTAGTGTTCTATTTTGCTTATTATATACTAGTTCTACTTCACTTGCTGTAGCATCTAGTATTGTAACTTTACTCTGAATATGGTAGGCAGATAGAGAGTCAAAAAGTAGCAACACATACCTTCATTTATCATAAAGTCATGTAGCTTTTAGTAGCAAGGCCAGCATACTTTCTTAAGTATCAGGAATTTCCTGTGATCTTCTCAGTGAAGGGTCAGAATGAGACCAGAGTAAAAGAAAAAATTAGAGTTCTCATATATGTGACACTTAAGGTTTAAACAGGAAATCCTCACACTTGGCTAATTTGAAGAAAGTTTATCTCATCATGAGCCTCTAGAATGTAAAAAAGACTTCCAACAACTAGTGTATCATTAATTTGCCCATTTTTTGAGTGCCTCTGAAAAATTGTCTATGTTTTCTACAAGACAAGGAAGGTGTAGAGATTTGACTCTCTATGCAGTTTACTTGTTTCCATCTCAAGATAAATGCCAGAAACTCAAACCTTAAGAGTATATTAGATGTTTAAGTTTTATTTTTAAAAAGAGATTTTCTTGCTATAGGGCATGTGTGTTCGCTGGAAAGAGAGACAGAAAGAGAAATCACCCTACCCCAGTGGGGATAGATACACTGCAACCCCTTCTCCACTCTCCACTAGGGATTTGGGGGATGCATACATACACACCTGCCTGGCGTATTTTAAGCCACCAGGTCCAGAACTCAAACTGTGGTCCACTATGTAGGAGTCCAGTAACAAAACCATTGCACCTTCTGCTCTCCCCAAGTTCTATTTTATACAAGGTTGCTAAACCTTAGCACTGTATACTTTTTTTTCCTATATCGTTATTACACATTTCTATCATGATGGAAAAATAATAACATCTTAACTCTATTATCTAATAAATTTTTAATGTTTTTTTTTCTAGTTATTCTGAGGAACGACATTTTCAACTTTATTCATGCTAGCACAAACCCTGTCCATTTCCAAACCTATCTTCTTAATTTCTCTACCTGTGCCGGGGTCCGGCCTCGGCAGTGGAGGGTGGCTCGTACACAGGAAGGCGACACGGGTGATCAGAAACAACAAATTAGACTGAGACCTCTTTGCTCCTTAGCATGTTCTCAGCCGGCCACAGCCAGAGCCAGCTCTTGGCTGCTGCGCCATGGCTATTAAAACATGCGTATTTATTGAGGGAGGTTTAGGAAGTAAGGAGGGTGAGGAGTAGTAAAAAATTTACTCTAAGGAACAGGGTATACAAAGCATGGAAGCAATAATTATAAAACATGCTGTTTGTCTTGTTAGCTCAGGTAAAATCAATCACAGTTCTCAGGATGAAGAAGTCCATTTGTCTGCTGTATCTTCTTCTTAGATCTTGATTACTGGGAAGGGTCTTTTGAAGAGGGGACTTGCAGTATGTTTGATAACTTCAGTCCCGGGCCAGGGTGATAACATTGCTGGTTGCTACGACCTAGATGGAAATCTTGTCTTGCTAAGTAAAGACACAGTTAATATATGGACTATCTATATATTACAACAATAGAGGGTGAGTCTATGATCTTATATGGGAAAGGAAGATGATCTTGTAGCTCAGGAGAGAACACAGGATGTTTTATTAGCAGTTTTTCATAGTCAACAGCACATAGATGAGAAACTCTTTGTAGTTGAAAGCTACCTGTTGCTTTAGATAAGAACTCCCAGCTAAAATGGTTAATCTTTCTGTGGAGCCCTCAGCTTTGTTTATTCTGTTGTCTCAGCCAGGTTTTT